AGCAACATTTGCAGCCGCAAACCAAGCAAATGACACAGATACCCAGATCAGAACCCAAAGGGCAAATTTGACTGGCCGCTCCTCAACAACGGTGAAAGCTCATCTTCCTCGTCTTTTTTTAGGAAACTCCCGTTGCAGCGCCACACCTCCGTCGATCCTCCCGGTCTCTACAACAGCAACAATCGCCGGTGATAGGACGGATGAGCAAGCCTGGGATAGGATTGTTCTATTGAAGATGTTGCTGGATAAGTTTATAATCTGCAGGTGGCTACTTTGATTAGAGGGCTCGAGCTTGAAATGAATTTGATGATGGATTCGATGATGGATGTGCAACACATCCGGGAATCTCGCTGGTCCTTTCAATTAGCTAGAACGAATGTGGTGAGATGGCGACTTAGGATGAGATCGAGCCGGACATAAACCCGGATCAGCCTGATTTTGTGAGTATCGGGTCTTCTGAGCAATCATTTTTCTTCGAGGCTCCTGTTCAGACACCTCTCGAATTAACATTGCAGGATGCCCATCCAATGACACCTACTCTATGACCCAAGCTTCCCGACGATCATGAGCATCCAATCATACTTGTCTGCAAATGAGAAGAGCCTCCGGCAAATGTCTTCGCCTCCGCCGCTATAACAGAAAAGGGGATCTGGGAGTTTGAGGCCACTCAAGGCGCTGTTGCTGCTGAATGAGGGCTCGGATAGAACAGTTGGAGGATTCGCGCCTTTGATGCATTGATTCCAAAAAAAATGAGGTAGTGACATCGTCAACTTGAGCTGCGACTTAATGTTGTAGTAAAGGGCTTTATCCGCAAGCTGTTCTATGAGAGAGATTCGAACGCCGAAGAATCACCTGTCTCGGCGACTTTGAAGAGGTCTGGTAGATAGTGGGCTTAGGCCTAGCTTTTGGGCTACGGTTTTGAAGGGCTAACCTGGGAGAGGATTTCTTTTGTAGATCTTCTAGGGCTTTCTTTGGCAGGGTTTGTGGAGGCACCACCAAGCCCATAAAGAAAAAGCAAGCTACATTGCTTCTTTTTTTTTTTTTTCTTTTTTTCCTTTTTTTTTAATTTAAATTATGTACAAAGAAAAATTGTTGCCTTTGTAATAAAATTGACTTTCGCTAGCCACCTTGAATAAAACATGTATTTTTTTTATTTTGATGTGACTGAACTCGAAGTTGAACGTTTGAGCTGCCTACGTACCCTTCCAAAGAAGAGATCAAGTCATAACGTAGTTCAAATAAGCGATGGATTTTTGGATGGTTTTAATGGTGATTTTGATGATGATTTTGCCATACACATTTTATGCTCTTGCGGGCCAAAAGCGCTTGATGCCATTTTGCAGTTTCAGCTCGTGCAGGCAAGGAACATTTGTTGCCGTTTGCAGTTTCAGCTCGTGCAGGCCGTTTGCAGTTTTGACTTGTTTAGGCAATGAGCATCTTGGTGCCATTTATAGTTTTAACTCGCGCAGGCAAGAAGCATTTGTCGTCGCCTTTTAGGCTTGTGCAAACAAGGAGCTTTGTGAATTTGTCAAACGATCTTGGAGAGGCATTCCTTGCAATCTTCATAGCAAAGAGTCTTGACCAAATGATTAAAGAAGTCTTTGGGGAAGAAATCGCGCATCGTGACGGCAACGGACGATCTTCATGTCACAATTTCATCATCCTCAACACTTTCATGTAGCTTTGAAGGTTGACGAGAGCTGTTTTGCCCCATTTCCAATTGGTGAACTTGTGGAAGAGACTTATGCTTCTTGTGCATTTTCTTTGGACTGACATAAGTACATCCTTCAACTTCACTTGACTGACATGGTTTTAGAGCATGCCCCCAATGGTTGAGGTGAAGATTTTGAGTCGAAAGAGCCAGAAATGACGATGGTATAGTTTGACTTCACCACATCGTCAAGATCTAGCTCAATGATTCCTTTCTAAGCCAGCTTCATGATGAGATCTTTCAGCATGAAGCACTTTTTAGTCGGATGACTGATGAACCTGTGGAATTTGCAGTACCTTGGACTGTTAGTACGATTCATCTTTTTCGGCAATCTGCACTCAAGTAGGTCGATCACCTTCTTGTCAAGCAAGTTTTTCAACATGGCAACCACATCAGAGTTGGGGAATGGATAAGTCTTCTCCTCAAGCTCTTACAAAGTGCGTCTACGCATCTCTTAATCACGAAAAGCTTCAGTTTAAATCGTCTTGCATCGTGTAGAGATTTTGACTAGAGTTGTGTTGACCGTTATTGCTTCCTTGATGGGTTTCCAAAAAGCCTTATCCACCTTTGACCCCAAAACTTTATCGTTATTATAGTCAGTGATCGGTTTTTTCTTTCCATGATGGGCGATGCTTAACTCCATATCATGGGCGCCAGTGGCTAACTCCTCAAAGGTTCATGGTTTGATGCCTTGAAGGATGTAGTGTAGTCCCCACTGCATGCCTTGAATGCATATCTCAATGGCAGAGGTTTCAGAAAGCCGATCTTTGCAATCCAAACTTAATGAACTCAATCTATTGATGTAGTCGACGACAAGTTCATCCTTCCACTGTTTCGTACTGGTCAGCTCCAGCATGCTCACAGTACGGCGAGTGTTGTAGAAAAGGTTAAGGAATTCCCTTTCTAACTGATCCCAACTATTGATAGACTTGGGCTCAAGGTCGATGTACCAGTCAAAGGCGTTACCTTTTAGCGAGCGCACGAATTGCTTGACGAGGTAGTCTTCTTCCGTCCTAACATTGTTGCAAGTTTCAATGAAATAGGCGACATGTTGCTTTGGGTTTCCCTTTCCGTCAAATGACATGAACTTTGGTAGTTGATACCCTGACGGCATACGCAAGCTATCAATACTCTTGGTGTATGCTTTGAGTATAGCAGTGCATCTCGCGAAGTGATTCCCACTTGTGCTCTGACGGTGTTGGCAATCATGTCCTGAAGCTGCTGGATGGAAAGAGATCCCATGAGTGCCATTGCTTGGTCTGGCTCCGGCTTCTTTACGTCTTTCTCCACCAAAGGCTCATCTTCGTCAGTTTCTCTTTTTAGTGGATCAACCTTCGGGTCGCGGTCAACATTTTCGTCATGTTGCGCCTTCAATCAGTTGATAAGTGCGGTAATTTGCAAGTCTTTCTCCATTGCGGTCCTTGTGAGCCTTGCAATTACTTCACTCATTTGAACCAGTTGTTCTTCAATAGAGGTAATGCTAATGGTCATGACTTGTGCAATCAATAGGCACGACTTTACTTCTGATATCCAGGGTGCTGACGAAGAACCCCATTGGCCATTTTGGGATATCATCTTGTGCGCCTCAATAGCATGCTTTAGTGCCCCCAGCAAGGTCAGGTTGATGACGGACTCGCGCCTTTGATGCTCCCCTTGCTCGCTTAGCGATACTAACTTTGAAGCGACATGTTGAGAAGTGGTTGTGGTGCCAATGGATTCTCCATTCGTGGCAAAAATGCTCAAGCTTCTTCCCTTGGTGGTTGCAAGAATGGCTTGTCCCTTGCTTGATGCCATTGATTTTGGAGGTGTGCTTTGGTTTTCTTGAACGGAGAAAGAGATGAGAGGTAGAAATTGTCCTACTGGGTGTGCCAAATTTGTAAACACGAAAATTCCTAATGACGAACAAGACAAGAACACGTGTACAAAATATATTTTTTGTATTAATGATTTTGGGGTTACAATCTCTTTGTAATTTGGTCCTCTGATTCGATCTCCGTAAGATGTTGGTTTGTTGACGTGTTGTTGATCCAAGGGCTATCGAGACTTGATCTTGGATGAACAGTTGGAAGTTTCTTCAAAGGTCGTCAGGGCTTGATCTTGAAAAACATGGATAAACAGATCTTCAAGGGCTTTTGAGCTTGATCTTGAAGTTGTTGATCCAAAGGGCCGTTGGGGCTTGATCTTAGGATGAACAGGTGGGAGTTGCTTTAAGACCCTTCAGGGCTTGATCTTTGAATAATGGTTGTGCAGATGTCTTCAAGGGCTTTTGGGGTTGATCTTGAAGAAAAATGATGAACGGATCTTCAAGGGCTTTTGGGCTTGATCTTGAAGAACGGTTGGATGTGTGGATTTGTTGATGTTGTTGATCCAAAGAACTGTTGGGGCTTGATCTTAGGATGAACGGATGATGAACGATGAACACTTTCTTCAAGGGCCGTCGGGGCTTGATCTTAAGTTGGTGGAAGTTCTTCAAGGGTCGTCCGGATTTGATCTTGAAAGAGGATTTGATGAAGAACGAAGAGAGCTTTCTTGATCCTTCGGGATTTGCTTAAGAGCTTTACAGTTTCAAAGCTTCAATGCTTCAAAGTTTTGGTGTGAAATCCATTTATTCCCAAAATGAATGCCTTGGCTTCCTATTTATAGAATTCCAAAACTTGATTTTTGGATTTAAATAATCAGATGAAATAAATCATTTCTGCCAGGTGTTGACACATGTCCTGTTTGATTACTTTTCTGATTTATTTCAATTTTTTCGTTGAGTCACACGCTACGTGTAAAATTTATGTGACACGTGAGCGTTGAAATTTTAATTATTGGTCAACATTCATTTCACCGAAATTTCGATATCTACAGACACATTCAAAATTCTACAACTTATATAACTCCTTTAAAATTTTGATTAAATACCCTCAGTTCTATAAATTCTTATAAAAAATTTCAACATTCCAACAGCCCCTAGTCTAAAATGACAAAATGCTAGCCCATTGTGAGAGGTCTTAGCCTCACAATGAGCTAGCAATAATGTGTCCAGGTTCGTGTTTAGTGAGAATCGAATATAAGAAATTTCACTTACAAATAAAAAGAAATATTTCTCTTAGACTGTAGTACCAAGTGACCAAATGCTATAAACTATAAGAAAATGTCCTAAATGGAAAAATGGATCTCACGTTTGTTATAAAAAAAAAGTGGGCCCGCAGAGTATCACAGAGCCGCAGCACAAAAAAAAAAAAAAAAAAAAAAAAAACCTGCCGATGCTTATTTGTTTCAATTTTGGTAAACATGCGTCGCCCGAGTTCAATCTGGCGACTCGTGAAGAAACTGAGTTCCGAGTCATGGATATCCCGCACGCGTGACAATTTAACTCGGGCAGGGATAAGGGGGGAGAGGCAGTTGTTTTCTCCCAATAGGGCTTCTCTCTCTCTCTCTCTCTATTCCCTCTCTCTGTGACGCTCTCTCTTTCTCTCGCAAAGCTCCCAGAGGCGTCTCTAATGGCGGTTATCAAACCCTAGCTAGGTACCGCAGTTGCACATATATATTTATTCCCTTTCTCAATCAGAAGCACAAAAAAAATAGCACAATTTTTTGAATCTGAATGCTATTTTTATTGGAATTTAGTTCGAACAATTTTAGATTCACTTCTCGATTGTTTTTGTATTTTGGTACGACAGGATCTGCCCGAAGCCACCTGGATTTTGCAGCATTTTAGATGAAGTATTATCCATATCTTACTGCTTAGGGATAGGGGAGGGGCTTTAATTTTGGGTAAAAAGCTTAGGGTTTTTGTGGCGGCTTGATTTCCGGTTGGAATCCAATCGGATTGGCTAAATGGACAATCCGGTAGTTAAAAAAAGGGGTCGCCCTAGGAAGCGTAAAGCGGAGGATGAAAAGGACCGGAAATCGGGTCCTGAAGCTAAGAAACGGGTTGTTGAGACAAGGTCGATTGTGTTGGTGGGTAGATATGTGTTGAAAGACTTCGGGAGGAGTGGGGTTTTTCTTGGGAGAGTTGTGTATTACAATGCCGGGTTGTACAGAGTTAATTACGAAGATGGCGATTGCGAGGACTTGGAGAGTGGCGAGATTCGTGGCATCCTTGTTCGTGATGATGATCTTGACACTGGTTTGAGCGTTAGGAGGAAGAAGTTAGATGATTTGGTGTTGAAATTGAGTAGGGAAACTGCAGCTGGGTTGGATAAGAATGTGACAAAATCAGCCCATGAGGTGGATAGGATTGATTCACCTGCATTGGGTGAGTTGAGTGGTGGAGTAAAGATCAAAAGTGATGAGATTCAAATTGAAGGTGGTGATGATTCGTCTAGTGATTCGAGTGAGTATGCAGAGGATAAGGATATGGGTTTTGGTGATGAGCCACTGTCTGTCCCACCGCCACAGTTGCCGCCTTCTTCAGGAACCATAGGCGTGCCAGAGCAATATGTTTCACATCTTTTCTCCGTGTATGGTTTCTTGCGATCATTTAGCATCTCCCTGTTCTTGAACCCATTTACATTGGATGATTTTGTGGGTTCGCTTAATTGCATTGCTCCAAACACACTGTTGGATGCAATTCATGTTGCTTTACTGCGTGCCTTGCGGGGTCATCTTGAAACACTCTCATCTGATGGCTCAGAGGTAGCACAAAAGTGTTTGAGGTACATATACATACAACTCTCAGTGCATTAGATGATTGGATCTTTTACAATATCATTATATTGAAGGAGCCATATTAGCTTCAAGTGCATACAGCATATGGTGTTAACCGAGTTTCCCTTCTTGTACTATGTTTTACAAACAGAAAAATAATTGCAGTAAATTATTATTGTATATAGATATATCTGATGTTTGTATTTACCATTCCATTACTAAACTTTTAGGATTATGTTTACAATTTATTTGCAGGTGCATTGATTGGAACTTGATTGATACATTGACTTGGCCTGTTTACTTGGTCCAGTATTTGACAATTATGGGATATGCAAAAGGACCTGAGTGGAAAGGCTTTTATAATGAGGTTATGGACAAGGAGTATTATCTATTATCAGTTGGTAGAAAGTTAATTATTTTGCAAATCCTTTGCGATGATGTCTTAGATGCTAAGGATCTGAGAGATGAATTAGACATGCGCGAAGAATCAGAAGTTGGAATAGATTGTGATGCAGAAGTGACTAATCCTCTTGTAAGTGGGCCAAGAAGAGTCCATCCGAGATATTCCAAAACTTCTGCCTGGAAGGACAGAGAAGAGGTGGAAATTAATCGGGCATCTGGTAATGCAAATTCATTTAGTTCCAAAGGTGTGAAAGAGGATGTGGATGATGTAGATCGTAACTCTGATGAATGTCGGCTTTGTGGTATGGATGGAACCTTGCTTTGCTGTGATGGGTGTCCTTCTGCTTATCACACAAGGTGTATAGGTGTTATGAAATTGTCTATACCGGAAGGGTCCTGGTATTGTCCTGAGTGCACAATTAATAAGATTGGACCAACAATTACAATGGGAACATCCGTTAAAGGAGCACAAATATTTGGCATCGATTCCTACGAGCACATCTTCATGGGTACTTGCAACCACTTACTGGTGTATGTTATCAACATCTTTGGTTTTTAGTTCCCCCATTGTTGTGTTTGCTATGTATTTTAATTACTGATGAACCCTTTTTTCCAAAAAAAATCATTCTTATTGGTTTGTGGACATGCCTCCATCTCTGCCGCAGACTTTGATTTTTTTCTTTAGTTCTGTCTGTATGTCTTGCTCTTAATGTCTAGTCATTCATTTGGAATGTCATTCAACCTATCCGGTTTTTAATCTCCTGGCATGATTTTTGCAGGCTCAAGGCAACTATCAACACAGAACCATGTATTAGATATTACAATCAGAATAACATTCCAAAAGCCCTTAAAGTTTTACATTCATCTGGCCAACATACAGCTTTATACTCAGAGGTCTGCAAGGCAATTTTACAATATTGGAGTATCCCAGAAAGTGTCTTCTCTCTTCCACAAGCGACTGAAACAGAAATTCCATTGGAAAATACAAAGGAAGGTGCAAAATCTTCTATGCAGTCACTTCCTTTGCCTGGCAAGGAAAATCATACAGTTACAGCTCCGATTAAGGCTGAGAATCATGTGACTAGTGTAAGTGAAACCAACTTAGGTTACATGGCAGCTTCATCTCTCAATGCCTCTGATAAGATTCAAGTTGACCTTCCTAATTCTCAGAGCAATGGGGTCAGTACACCACAGGAGCGCCGGCCTTTGATTATCAAGATACGTACAAGGCAGAAAATGGAATTCTCTGTGCCAACTGCTACTGGTACCCAGCTGGCTGATCCATCTCATCTGACCCACCAAATCTCAGTTGCAATACCTCGTAGTACATGCACCTCAGGGAACATCAACAACTGTCACAATGAGCATGCATGCATGGGGGCTTTTTATAAACCTCAGGCATACATAAATTACTATATGCACGGGGAGTTTGCTGCATCTGCTGCTTCCAAACTTGCTGCAATATCATCAGAAGAAACTCGAGTCTCAGATAGTCATGCTTTAGGCAATCCCAGGAAAGCTGCATCTGCAAACATTTCATTGCAAACAAAAGCCTTCTCATTAACAGCCTCACGTTTCTTTTGGCCAAGTTCTGAAAAGAAGCTTGTGGAGGTTCCAAGGGAGAGGTGTGGTTGGTGTCTTTCTTGTAAGGCTTCAGTTTCAAGCAAGAGAGGATGTATGCTAAATCATGCTGCTTTGAGTGCCACCAAAGGTACTATGAAGACCCTTGCCAGCCTGCATCCTATAAAGAATGGGGAGGGGAATATTGTAAGCATTGCAACATATGTATTGTACATGGAGGAGAGTTTACGTGGCCTCGTAACTGGACCATTTGTCAATGAAAATTATAGAAACCAGTGGCGCAAACAAATTTATCAAGGATCAACTTTCAGTGCAATAAAAGCGCTATTGCTTGAAGTAAGTTTTTAATATCCTAGTGTCTGGTTTTTTTGTGTAGATTTTAATTGGTCCAGTACTTTTCTACTAGGCAGTAGCGGTTAGTGAAAGGGGCCTTAGTTTCTATCCTCCATGAGCTTCACCACATGAAACCCAATGGTACTGTTTATGATATGCCCCTCATCATTAGCTTCTTATGTCAATTACTGACAAGTGACGCCTAAAATGAATTTGGATAGATTAAATGGACTACTGAAATCAGAGGACCAATTTTAAATGACTTAATTGGAAAATTTGTTGCAGGATTATAGGGACAATTATTTCCATTTATGTCTAACTTTTGCGACCTGGTTTGAGTTTCAATCTGAACTTTTAAGTTCAGTAGATATACTGAAAGCATGAGATTTTGAAATTCTTACTAATTGGCAATTATGCAATTAACTTTGAAGAAGTTTGCCAATTAAATTTTCAATTTCATTGATCATTTTCATTCGTTTGGTCATATATAAGATTTTTTTTCTTTTTTACCTGGCCAGTAAGGATTAGAGAGATGTGAGAGAGACCAATGCCAGCCAAGTTATACAAATTTAGTAGGAATCAGTGCAATACAAGTGCAATCACTTTACTATTCTAGCATTTGTGAAAACGTTTTAGTTATGCTGCTGAATCTGCACCGGAAGATTTTAGTGAAATAAGCCTCTTGTATTTTTCTACTACTTTGGTTGCAGTATAGTGCCTACTTCTGCTTTTTGTTAGTTTTTTTAAACAATATTTATAGCAACAGTGTGTGTGTATGTGTTACTCAAAGTTCCATAAGATGCCTGGGTAGGTTCTCCCCTAAATTGCGACCTGTGGTTTATTAGCCTTATAATCCTATAAATGGGTGAATTATTTTGTGATATATATTTTCATGTCTATGTATATGTTCTGATGGATGATCCGTCTCTTATCTGCAGCTTGAGGCAAATATACGAACCATTGCTCTGTCTGGGGAGTGGATAAAGCTTGTGGATGATTGGTTGGTTGATTCATCCATGATTCAAAGTCCAACTTGCTCTGTTGGTACAACACAAAAACGCGGACCAAACAGAAGGGGCAGGAAGCAGAATGCAATTCATGATGATAAAGATGATGATTGCCATGACCAGAGTTTTGTCTGGTGGCTAGGTGGGAAGCTATCAAAGCTTATATTTCAGAGAGCAATTTTATCTCGTTCTTTGGTTAAAAAAGCAGCTCGCCAAGGTAACTTCTGTCTTTGTCTTTCTGCAAAACTATCTGTTTTTCCCCGTATGATATCTTTGAACTATTGAAGGTTTTCATTTCCAGCGCTGTTGGGAGGGGTAGGGATGTGTACTAATGGGTTTTTTGTGGTCCACTAGGTGGTTGGAAGAAAATTTCTGGTATATCTTATGCTGATGGTTCTGAGATTCCTAAAAGAAGCAGACAATCAGTATGGAGGGCTGCAGTTGAAATGAGTAAGAATGCACCACAGCTTGCGCTTCAGGTTTGTTATTAACTTGCAAATACCTAAATTCCTTGCTCTGTTCACCCCTCTCACTTTCTTTATATATCTCTTGGCCTGGCCGCATATTAAGGGCTCGTTTGGATGTGCTTTTAAAATGACTGAAAGCACTTTTAGAAAAAATGATTTTGGGTTCCAAAAGCACTTGAAGTGCTTTCTACAAGAATCGCCAGTTATGTACTTCTTCCAGGAAGCATTTTAAGTGCTTTTTCAGCATTTACTTTCATCTTTACTAAAGATTGGTTATAAAAACATTTTCATCAAAAGCGCTTTTAGTCATTGTAAAAGCACATCCAAACAAGATATAAGTTACCTTATGAGGTATGTTGTTGATAAGAAATTTCAACTGTAATATTTCCCCAGGTCAGATATTTGGATTGTCACCTGAGATGGAGTGATCTTGTTCGTCCTGAGCAGAACGTCCCTGATGGGAAGGGTGTGGAGACAGAAGCTTCTGTTTTTAGAAATGCAAATATATGTGATAAAAAATTTGTGAAGAACAGTAACATATATGGGGTTGATTTCGGTGGTCAAAAGCATCTGCCTAACCGTGTAATGAAGAGTATCATTGAAATAGAGGAAAGTCAAGATGGATATAACAAGTTTTGGTTTCCTGAACTGCGCATTCCTTTGTATTTGATTAAAGAATATGAAGAAAGGGTGGGCAAAGCTCTTTTGCCATCAGCTGAGCAGCCTTTGAATATGTTCCGCAAGTTACAGAAAGAGCAGTGGAAGGTTCCCCGCAGGGATATATTTTTCTATCTTGTGTGTAAGAGAGATAATCTGGACTTGTGTTCCTGCTCTTCATGTCAACTGAATGTTTTAATGCGGTAATTACTTCATACAATTTATTCTTTTCAATTGTTAAGTTGTCTATACTGCTATGTCAAAAACTGAGTCATCATTTCTCTGTTGTAATTCAGGAATGCAGTCAAGTGCAGTGCCTGTCAAGGTACATTGACGAACCTTCTTTTGGCCTTTACTAGTGCAGTGTTTTAATTAGGAATCTCTTAAAAATGTGAATTATGCATACCAACTTTTTTTAAAATGCACGATTTGCTAACTATATGATCAAATACCAACATCTTAAAGGTGTAAAATTTATTCATCAATGTTTGCAATTTCTTCTTTATTTTTGTCAGGTTATTGTCATGAGGACTGTACCATAAGTTCAACAGTTTCTACAAATGAAGAAGTTGAGTTTTTGATCACTTGCAAGCAGTGCTACCATGCAAAGGCTCTCATTAAAAATGAAAACTTGAAGGAGTCTCCAACTAGTCCTTTGCACTTGCAAATGCAGGAATATCGAACTCCCATGACAGTCACCAGTGTTGCAAGGCCTAAAAACTACAATCAACCAGTAACACATGTCAGAGGGCAGGGGACTCGTTCTGAGAAGAAACAGGCAACTTCAGACTCTGCTTTGGCAGCAAAAAATCGTCACGGCATTCGTTCCTGGGGTATTATATGGAAGAAGAAGGGGGGCCCGGAAACTGACACTGATTTCCGGCTTAATAATATACTTCTTGCAGATGGTTCAGAAGTGCATGGGTTGTATCCTGTTTGCCACCTGTGCCATATGGCATATCAGTCAGATCTGATGTATATATGCTGCGAAACTTGCAAAAGTAAGTGTGCTCCCACAAGTGGAATTTTTGGCACTCTCTCTTCTCTCTCTCTCTCTCTCTCTCTCTCTCTCTCTCTCTCTCTCTCTCTCATACCACCTCTGTTTGTGTGTGTGTGTCTAAGATTGATTGTGTTTGTGGTGATGCAGATTGGTACCATGCTGAAGCTGTTGAGCTTGACGAGTCAAAGATTTCTGAAGTGGCTGGTTTCAAGTGTTGCAAGTGTCGGAGGATAAAATCACCTGTGTGTCCTTACACTGATCCTACAAACATAAAGACGCAAGAGAACAAGAAGGTTCACACTAGGCGTCCAAAGCAAGAAACAGTTGGAGAAGACTCTGATTCTGCAACCTTTTCCATATCTGATTCTAAAGTCTGCGAACCTGCTACTCCAATATTTCCCATGGAGGAAGTGCCCATGCAGGATGGTGATCCTCTTCTCTTTTCTCTTGCTAAAGTCGAGTTAGTTACAGAGTACGATTCAGAAGTTAATGCTCAATGGAATACTGCTGAGCCGGGGCCGAGGAAATTACCAGTGAGGAGGGGTATTAAGCGTGAAGAGGATGTAGATGGCTTTCATGAGAGTAACATATCTCATCCTGGAATATCTACACATGGTGAAACGAATTACCTGTCAAATTCTATGGACTTCGCACCATCCCATGTTGGATGGGATAACTCCATGAATGGAGTTGAAGGTGAGACGGTGCATGACTATGAAGATCTAAACTACGAGAATATGGAACCGCAAACTGTCTTCACTATCAATGAGTTGCTGGCACCTGATGATGGTGACCAGTTTGATGGATTCCAAGCACTTGTAGACGAATCAGGAAATCTGGAAAACCAATATACAGTTTTCCAGGATGGAGGCCCTGATCAATATAACATGGCTACTTTCAGTGATGAAGTAAAGTCTGCTGTTGAGATGATGCAATGTCAGGTATGTTCACTTCAAGAACCATCACCCAATCTTTCCTGCCAGAACTGTGGGCTATTGATACACAGTGAGTGTTCTCCTTGGATTGAATCATCATTGGCGAATGGAAGCTGGAAGTGTGGCCAGTGCAGAGAGTGGCGGTAGCTGTTTTTGCCATCCTTCTAAGGCTTCAAGCTTTGTTTCGGAGGGAGATCTCCTGGACGAGAAGTTGCAAGGTAATGACTCTTGATGGTTGTTAAATTTTTTGATTTATGAGAAGGCGAGACATCAAATATGGAAATTTCAGTTCTCTTTACTTCCCACCGGCGTTTCTGAGCCTCTAGCACATTCAGTTACATTGAGAAGTTTGGGAAGCTGAATTGTGACTTCCCAATTAAAAAATGGTTGGGCACCTCAATGTTAATTAGTAGGGGGTTTGGAGCTCTACTGTAAAGTGTCCAATTTTTCCGTAACCAGAAAATGGGGAGTTATTGTTTCACTGCCTTCGTATTTTTTGGGTCTGAACAAAGAGTTCAGACGATAAGCAGGTTTTTGGGGCTTATCTGATTGAATTGCTTGTGTAAATGAAATTCAGACCACAATTTTTCATGTTATGAAATCATGTCGTAATGAGGAGTATTTTTTATGTTGTGGAATGTTGCTTGTGCCAATGAGTGACTTCCCGTGCAAGTTATTGTGTTTTTCTGAAATGTAATCCGGTACCTCAAGCGACGCTTAGTATAATAATAAGTGGTGTGAGAACACGAGAGATTTTTCAGTGTGTACGCTAAGTCTATGAGTTTCTATATATTCTGGACTCAAGTCAGGAGCGTAATCCATCCGTGATACTCTTCAACCCGTCAAACATAAACTTTGAATTGTGTCTTCACCGATTTAATGATGCTATTTAGTTTGGACACATTTCCAAAGGGATAGAATCTGTCTACATTTCGGTAAAAGGATTTTCAAGTTCCAAGGAATTGAGCTCGAGTTGCAAGAAATGGATCACTAAAATTAGAAAGGCATGTACGAGAAATTTACAAATGACAACTTCTGAGTATGGTTTTGCTAATCCCCCTCGCATGGCTTTGTAATGCTCATGGAATGAATTTTTAATCCGTCTACGTAATTTTTTGTGATCCATTCTTTGCTAACTTTTGAGGTTCTGGTAATTCAAGTGTTGGTTATGGAATGTGTTGAAAATTCTCACTTTATAAATAGATAAAAACCATTAGGGCTATACAAGGAGTCAATGGAATTCTGGAGATTGTTCATGGATCCTGAGAACTAGAGTTGTAGATTATTCGAGGGATATTATGGCACACGGAAACATTAGGGCAGAATGGCTAATAGGGCGTCACATGGAGGGAATTTATTCCCGCACCCTTTAGTGTAAACATTTTGTACCCAAAGGGGCAACACATATCACACACTGCAGATCAACCCAATAATTTGTATTACTGAGAAGAAAGATTATGGTCATGCATCAACAAACAAATACAAGCTATTACAACTAATCTACTTCATCATGTAACTACAGAAGCCAATCCACTGACAGACACTGGGAAGATCTGTAAAATGTGAAACGAGCAAGATATGTAAAAACACCCTCACCCCAAAACCGCGAAAATTTCTCACGTACGCACAATTGTATTGTACAGAGAAAAAAATCTAAAAACCCCGACCAACCGCCCGTGGAGAGATCCACTCAAACACCTAAGCCGCCCGCACAAATTAGCTCACACCTCAATTCCGTCAGCCCTTGCATCGGGATTTTGTTTGTCCACCTCTTCAACTTTGCGCGGGAGAGGCCACTGGGCAGGTTGTATAAATCAGATTTACGATTGTATAATGAACAAATCCTCACACATCACAGCAGGCCGGCCAGCATAGCCCCGGGATCTGTTAATGCTGCAACCGGGCTGGTTGGTTGAGCTACCGGAGGTGCTGGCAGCACTGGTCCAGGTGCATGAGGGGCTGGAGGCATGAAAACTAATTGTTCCTTGATGAACTCCTTCAACCTGCACATCATTCGGAGGTCAGAGGATTCTATCTTCCAACTTCCAAGTCAGAAAATTTTAAGGTTAACAATACATACTCAAGCGTTAATGTAGGGTCCCCTGAAGCAACTGTCATACGCAACTGTGTTCTGTCTGCTGGATCTGTTTCTATTCTAACCTGAGGAGAGTAAAACAAGCTAAAGAATCAGCGGCCTGTTGCAATTCTAAAGAATCATTTTCAAGAAACATATTGTTATCTATAATAATAAACCGACAATTGGGGGTTCGGCTGTGCCGTAATACCACCAATTAAAGTCTGAAGTCCTGGAAACAAACATATAGCTCTTACCAAGCAAAGCATGGCCCGTGTATTTTCTGAGTAAAATGTTGTACTTGCAACAAGATTATTTGGATTTGGATCCTAAAATAAAGAATACATTAGTGACCACCTTAAATAACTGGCAGACTTGCAAGGAAAATTTAAAACATAAGAAGGGAACTTACAAGCGCTGGACAAACCATCAACCGGAAACTGTTAAGTAGATTCGCCATTTCTACAAGTGGCATTGGTTTGACACCTCTAACCTGCATTGTTTACTGGACAATATCACCACATGCCAAATACAGAAGCTAGCCAATGTATAACAATTTAACCTCGACCTGGGGTTAGCAATAAGCTGCTTGAACAATGCTAAAACTTTACTACAAACTGGTTAGTATGTGTTTATTATTCTGATACGTGTAACACTTAACAGGTTCTAACATCCCGCTTTCCAGTAGATTACAAAATATCAGCACAACCTTCCCATCAGAGTTTGATGGTAATGAAATCGTCAATCAATTTATAGAGGGCACAACTTACACTATACAAGTCTATGAATTATTCCGCAAAAGCTGAATGAAAGAGACTAATAAGCGCTCATGTCATTAGAAATTTACTTTGTCAATGACTCAATATAAATGGTTGTCGATTAGTTTTAACCCATAAAAGGAATTTCTTCTTCAACACAAAAATCACAAATGTGACAAATTCTTAACACACATACCACTTCTTGAAGCTTCAGAGGTGGCCCCGATAGTGATCTCCACTGGGGAAAGAACTCTTCAGTAGACACCGGAATAGGCTGAAGAAATTTACTTAAGACAGATGGGAGGCGAAGTTTGACATTGACCTACAAAAGGGTTACTATCAGTATCTGAAGCCACAAATATGACCTATTTTCTGCTTCATTGCACGATAAAAACACAAGAATTTTAGAGTAAGTACCATATTGTTACCAAACTTGTAGGAAAAGTCAAGAACCGCTACATCCCTGCTAGGTCTGAGATTCACAACTTCAAGCGGGCATTGTACCTACACAACAAAACAAAAAGAAATAGAAATACACAAAGCTAATAAATATGAGAGAGGGAGAAAGATCAACCACCAAAGCTTAATTATAAGGGTAACATTTATTACCTGTGCCCTGGGAGGAATAGTATCCGGTACTAGTGAGAGCTCCATTTTCAAATGAGAGGGAGGCAATATTATAGCCTGAACTGACACAAGTGGTGAAGTATTTTTGTTTCCCAAGAAAAGAACAAGAAATCCTTGATGTAGCCGCCACTCGGATTTAACTCCAATCTGGAATAACATCACAAGAATGTCAATATAAGCCTAATAAGGCCTTGCTGAATTTTCATTATCTCAAAGAAAAAATGGAAACTATCACATCCATAAACAAGAAAATATGGTTATAATTTGGGGGAAAACCTGAATATTAGGATCTTCGTATAGAACACCACTATCTTTCAAGCAGAGAGCATGAAATCTTTCAGCAATATTTCCTATTGGCTGCATTTAAGAATTATAAAATTTGTTAACACATATTAGAAAATAAGTATAACTGAACAAAAAAAAAAAAAAAAAACAAACAAAGGCAAACACATATATCTAATAGTTAGCATATTAAGCTACTCAAAAAACACCATTACTTCTAAAAACAGAAAATACCAATTAACCAGTATAAAGCATCAATATGATTGACAGTCCAATTTAGAGAGCAGAATACACTGCATTTGGAACTCTTTCAGGTTCCACCTACATCTTAGAACTTAGAAGAAATACAGCACCCAGCAATGATTGCATACAACGTCTACAGAAAGTACCTGAACAGAATTTTGCTCCTCGCCAACAGGCACAATTGCTGAAGCATCCACTGCATTTGGATCGCTTCCTAATCCAGGGGTTACAGTCTGCTGCGGCTGACCAGCAGTAGCAGGACGGCCTTCAATAGCCAGGGGACCCAAGAGATCACCAAGGAGATCTGCTGAAGGTGGCTGAGGATCAACTTTACTCAAAGTACCATTTTCCTGAGACAACCCTTGGTCAGTTGAATTGTGATCCTGTGACAATACCCAAACATGCATCAATGTTCAATCAAAATAAGATATAATATTTGTATGTGAAACTACAACATGCATACCCCAAATACACAGAATGAAAGAAAAGATCAGAATCGTTATTGAAAAGAAAATACAATACTAACCGCGTTACTGCTCATGCTGGGCATCTTGACAAGACCGAGCTGGTTGACAGGCGAGGTCCCATTAGCAGGGCGTTGGTCGGTCACAACCAAAGCACTTGATGTTTGCTGCTGGGCCCGCAACTTGATAGCACTTTGTTCTGCTGTATCAACCTCTGTATCTTCAGCCTTCTTGATCAATGCAGACTACATATTAAACAAAAAAAAAAATTATATTAAGAGTTTGTTTCAATAATTTCCAAGAATTGATAGTGTTGTGAACTGACCGATCCTCTGAAGGAAAGTGCAAAACAAATGTACCTGCCGCTCAGGAAATTTAGGCATTTCAGCCAAAATATCCACCAGATCTGCACCTCTCCTACTTAAGGCAAGGTATTCAGCAGCTCTTTGTTGTATCTCAACATCAATGCAACTCTCATATCTGAAAGGAAGAAATTGTGAGCTAAAGAAAAACATAAAATTTAATAACAGAAGAGAACCAATTCACGAAAGTAAAGACGCAAATGACAACCCCACTTGTTGAATATTGCATAAGTAAACCAAGCGATAAAGAAAAACACAGAATTTGATTAACAGAAAAGAACCAATTCATGAAAGTAGAAGTACAGAAGACAATCTCACTTGTTGAATATTGACCAGATCTGATTCTGTAGTTCCTGGTCTGGAGGTTGAGTGTGCATAAAGATCTTAGCATATGTTGAAAGAAGAATAGGTATAGTAGATGTCCTGCAAATACATCATACAATCTGTAAGATATATACGGAAATGCTAACTGGATTTAGCAAGAATAAGAAACAGAGAAGTTTAAGTTCCACTTACGTTACAGCAGGAAGCTTCTCATGTATGACGGTAAATAATTCCTTTGGACTGCACCCAGGGCGTCTGGCCAAAAGGTGGCCAAATTCTCCGATGATATATGCACTGACCTGTTGTATGTGTATTCATTCCAAACAAATCAAGAGATTTATTTTATTTAGATGGTTAAATTTGGTCAAAAAATAGGCAAGAGAAAGAATGAACGCTAAAGATTGAGGCAAGTTGAAATTGAAATGATACTCTTGAATATCATACGTGTAAAGATATATTCTGCCCCAAGACTTTAGAATTCACAACC